ATCGCGCCGTGTAAACATAAAACCATGTCTGCATTTGTGATCGGAGAAACGACAAACAACAAGCGCTACTCTACACTGCTCAAAACTCGCGTTTGAATCATCAGTGGCAAATTCTTTAAATATGAAAACATACTTACAGGCTGTGAGACAGAAGCGCCAGACTGTCCTTGCAAAGTTGGAACTGCCCCACTTTATAGAAACAACCTTCGTGCACAGCATTGTAGGCTACTCTCCCAGGATCAGGGGAAACAGTCCTCCGTAAAATGCGCTGCACACATCTAAATATTTGGGTTGAACTGTTCTGGAACAGTGTTGTAAATACAACTTAATTTCTTTGCGTGAACATTTGGGCGGTGTTATGTAAATCTTTCCACACAGTGACGTAGACATGTGGGGGCGTGTACGAGGCGTTTTAGGAGGGCGTGGACGAGTCTTAACTTTTTTTAAAGAATATCTTTTTGGGTTTGAGACTTTAGTCTTTGCAATTTTAGGGATCTTATCTATGCACGAACTGCTTGTAACACTCCAAAGAGAAAGGAAAACTTGAAATTGCATCATATGACCCCTTTAAATCTGTGTCAGAGACTCTCATCTGTAACATCTTCATGCCTGTAATATGATAAAATGAATCTCATGAGGTCAGAGTGAGTTTAATACAGGATTTTAAAGGAATTCAGTTTCAAAGGGGTACGAGTCACGACAGGTATACAAAGCATACGTAAGTGTTTGAAGGGAGGAAGCCCAAAATCCCCTGGAGGATAAACATTCACGGGGCAAATCAGAGCAAGAGGACGATAACTGAAATATGTCCGCTCCTAACAGCAGATAACACTGACACGCTTATGGAAAACATTGCGGGAAATACCGGGAAGAGGTGAAAGTACATAGTTGAGATGGTTGGGAGATATTTCTTTATTATCCAGAGGGCTGGATGTTTAGTTTAGACTAATGTGGTGTATTTTTAGTGGCTAATGTGGCACATATTGCTCACCAGTTTCCTGTTTGAGATCCTGAAAGAATTTCTGGTTGAAGATGAAGGCAACTCCACTTATCTCTTCGACCTTTGCCTCAGCGGTGGTGTTTCTGTTGATAAAGTTTGCCGTTATGGCGATGGCCAGTTTGCCACGAAATTCCTTCCTCCTGAACCCTGAGAGAGAGAGAGAGAGAGAGAGAGAGAGAGAGAGAGAGAGAGAGAGAGAAGGGGAAAAGAGCAAGGGGAAAAGCGTTTAGAAGTTTGTAAAGCAATAACTTTGCATTTGTTTCCTCGTGTTAGAAAGAGATAAACTAATGCAGCACAAACATGCCGCTCTACCAGTATTATACACCCATTATTTTAGGTTCTCAGAGGCTCAATTTAACTCCAAAGTCCATACTGAATACTGCCCATCTGAAGATATTTTGGGGTTTAAAAGACAATTAATATTCAGTAATATCATCAATTTAACTGTACTGACACTATTGAGAATAGGACAATAATTTGAACAGAATTGAGCTGGACAAACATTGCATCATTGACACTTAAACTGAACTCAAACAACATTGAACTAAACTGAGTTGAATTATAATACTATTGTCTTCTATAGAGCTGCTTTAAAGCTGAAATATAATTTGTATCATAATTAATTTTACAGGACTGACACGGTTATTTTCCTGTTTATTAATATGAAGTTGCTTTGAAACAATCCGAGTTGTATAAAGAGCTATGTAAATAAATGTGCCTTGACGTAACCAGGGTAATTATCGTTAACTAAAACTAAAACAATAAAAACAATTTTCATTACTTGAAATAAAATATTAACTGAAATAAAATTTAATATTTTTAAAAAACTTGCCAAGGCAACATTTCTCATTTTCATTTAGTTTGACTTGAGCAGTACTAAAACAACTAAAACTCATTTAAAAACTACATAGACGTACAGTATTTATAATAATAATAAAATGACAAAAACACACAACAAAATTACTAAAACTAAAATTAAAAATTAAACTACATAGACGTACAGTATTTATAATAATAATAAAATGACAAAAACACAACAAAATTACTAAAACTAAAATTAAAAATGAAAACATAATATATAAAAATCAAATCAAATTCAAAATATTAACAAACATAGTATATCAATGACACAAAAATAACGCTTGATTTGACTTGAGGATTGATGTTTAATGAACAGTTATGGGCCAATAGTTATGGGGTGATATTTCATAGTGGCCGGCCTACCAAGGTCCCGTCCACAGAAATACAATTTTTAAAAATATTTTCTCTACACTTTGCCCTCTTTCCACACATTAGCAGCATTTTACAGTTAGTCATTGAAAACTGAGATTTTTGAAAATGCCTTTCTAAGTGAGGACCTTTCAAAACATTATTTTCTGTAATGCATGTTGACAGGTAAAATAGAGATGCTGGAATTTGGTGACATCACAAACACAATTTGAAAATGATGACAACATTTTCATATTTGGGTGAACTATCCCTTTAATCACTGAATATGTATATACTGAGTCTGTCAAGTAAATCTCATCAGATAAAGAGAGATTGATCTGCACAACAAATGAAAGGCGAAAACTGCCTTTTCAGAATATTTGTACTCAAAAATAGAGTCCCAAGAGATCGACAAAATATTCTGTTTCTCATTGTTTGCCAGGTTTTTTTGGGGGGTTTTTTTGGGACAGAAACTCTGACTCAGAAAAGATATTTTTTTATTGCATTATGCCTGATTAAGACGTGTTAGAGCTCGGTTATAAAAGAAGACGGAACATAAAAAGTGTCTTCATGTATTAGAACTAAATACTAATGGCAAATAAGTTCATCCAAATTTGACAAAAATGGCACAAGCTGTTCATTTTTAATGGCTGTTGAGTGGGCTGACTTGGCTCGAGGAGAATTGGCTCTGCTTTCTCATCCTGCAAAATAATGCATGAGGCTCTACAGAGCTTCTCTACGAACAGACACCGATTTGATTAAGAGCCAGAACTGTTCCATTACTGCCATGTTGTTAAGTCACTAAGGCATCAGTTCTCTTCTTCGTCATCTGCTTTTCAGTCCAAATCCAGCTGCTTTCGCCTGACCGCTGCTCTGCCTCAGAATAGGATAAATTTAACTTTCCCTAGACGTCTTGAACTAGCTCACTTAATGTCCAAATCAAACTGGGTTTCTTTTTTTCCCTTAAGTTACTCATAATTGGGCAATGAGCTAAGGCACCGCAAATGGCCTTTTTTGGAAAAAGCATTTGATTAGGGATAAGTGAAAAGATGACGAACCTGGAAAACAGAGTCCAACGGACACACATCATCAGCTGAAAAGTGTTCAGAAACCCTGAGAGCTCCTCAAGAGCACATGTTGACTCGCTGATCTCATATGTAACCGGTGGGCGGCTGGTGACATCATGCAGTATCGCTTTACAACATGATTTTATGGCTTAATAACCTTCTTGGATAACACAATCCATTCTAGGGACTTCGGCCAAGAGCACGGGCCAAATTTTAAGAGTTGCTGAGGTTATTTTAATGATAGAAAACCCATAACAAAGAAAGGTTTTGGATTATATCTTTAAAATGCTGCTTAAAGGAATAGGTCACCCAAAAATAAAAATTTGCTGAAAATATACTCATCTACATCTTGAATGGCCTGAGGGTGTTTCTTCATCTGGACAGATTTGGATGTTTGGAAGTTTGGATCGCGTGTTTACCAATGGATCCTCTGTAGTGAATGGGTGCCGTCAGAATGAGAGTCCAAACAGCTGATAAAAATATCACTATAGCCCACAAGTAATCCATACAGCTTTCACTTTACAAGACATTATACGGTGGGCGGCTGGTGACATCATGCAGTATCGCTTTACAACATGATTTTATGGCTTAATAACCTTCTTGGATAAAACAATCCATTCTAGGGACTTCGGCCAAGAGCATGGGCCAAATTTTAAGAGTTGCTGAGGTTATTTTAATGATAGAAAACCCATAACAAAGAAAGGTTTTGGATTATATCTTTAAAAGTTTTATTAATGCTGCTTAAAGGAATAGGTCACCCAAAAATAAAAATTAGCTGAAAATATACTCATCTACATCTTGAATGGCCTGAGGGTGTTTCACTGCAGAGGATCCATTGGTGAGCAAGTGATGTAACACTAAATTTCTCCAAATCTGTTCTGATGAAGAAACAAATTAATCTACATAAGAGTGAGTGAAGGTGAGTAGATTTTCAGCAAATTTTCATTTTTGGGTGAACTATTCCTATATTTGCCATTTTCTTTCACATTCTTGGCACATAACCCATCCTGCACCGTTTGTGTTCTAGACGTGAATGATACCTCAAATTGTGTGACTTGTTGAGAAGTGTGCCGTTACATTATTTGAAAGGCCATATGACATGCTGTGTTCATGTACATGCTATCATATTTTAGCTAGGTATAATTTTAGTTACTGCTAGAAGAGTTTGTAATCGTAGAGCAAAGATTATTATAGCCTCTTAGTTACTGTGCAAACAAAGGGTTGCATGTGTGTTTTAGTCTGCATAATATATGTAATTCAGCACAGCATACAGATTTTTAACATTTTATTTCTCATGAGCAGTTCTTTAATGGTGATTGAGCAGCAATTGCAACATCTCCACCCATCTGGGCTTATACCTTCTAAAGAGTTTCGTCTCCCATCAGCTCCCACCACCACATCAAAGTTGAAGTCGGCCACAGGGTGATCCGCAGGCCGGATCTCTGCCCTCCAGCCCGGCCCTGCATAAACAAACACATTCAGCCTGAAAAATGACAAATCATACCCGTGATATCTTTAATATCTCCCAGAGAACAATGAGATTTTCAGATGCTTTTCAGAGATTGACCCAAGTAATCTGTTTGGGGGTTTTTTTCTTGAGTTTTAGAAGAAATCTCAACAATGTCTCAAAATGTGCTCCGATTTGGCAAGATGTAAATCTCTGAGTTTTAAATATGAACTCGAACATCAAACTCTCCAGAGACTTAATTATCTGAGCTGTTACCCACTTTAAATTTCTAGCTCTATACTCTTGCATGCCAGCTATTGACTCATTTGTTAGGAGAAATAAAAATAGACGTGCCATTCTACTAAGAAAACAATCCTAGCAATCTTTGTATTTCAAAAGAGATTTCAACTATGTCTCAAACTCCAAAAACGTAATTATTAACTTATCCACATGCATTTCATAGCTCTATATTCTTAATGCATGCCAACAATTGCTTCTGTTCTTTCTATTTGTATTTCTCCTAAGGAATTTCAGAAGCATCTGAGAGTTGATACAAAACTGGGAACTCGTTTAATCTCCCAAGCAACATCTGAGCAATATTTTTTCCCTCCGGGGAGGACAGGAGCTGGGAGGAGCGAATACAATACAAATATCAAAATATTTCAAGACACTTCACCCAAGTTCACTTCTGAGGGACTGCTCTTGCTGCAAGTGAACCACAGGTTGTTTTAAATGAAAATAATCTGCTAAATGAAAAACATATTTTTCTAACAGCTAAATATTTCAACATGATTAGGTCATGCTACTCATGTATGCATTATGCAATCTTGCCAAAAATTGCCATGCATTCCAGAAACATACAGTCACAGCAAGTCATTCAACTATTATTAATAAAAGCCAACCATCAATGTCAAACATTTAAAGTACAACTTTCAAGCAATATAAACACACATACAAGTTGAGAACTTTACATGATCCAACTGAACTATATCCAGGATCATGAGTATCGCTCAAAGCCATAGTACAGGGTCACAGCAAGCACATATTCTTAATTTAGAAAGCTCTTTTGGTTTTTATCAGCCTGCTGTCGTTGCTGTTGAAGGGAGAAAGATAGATTGCTAAAGGTCTAGAAGTCTAGGGGAGAAGCTTACGCAATGTTGTTCTTCCATAGATGACCAAAGTGGCCATATATGGAAACACACTCCTTGGACCTAGAGTACGAGTTGTGTCTCTAATTATCAAGATCTACTAATCATTTAGAAATCTCGTGAAATGAGATCGCAGAGCAGTGTGTAACGAGAGAACACTATGCATGCTATGTAGTCATAAAATGACACTTAGATGCGGGAGGGGAGAGTGAAGTGGATCTGCACACTTTTCCATGGGCATTAAAATTGTGTTGTCATGACAACACCAAAGGTGTTGTTTGGTTGTCATGGAATTATAGTGAGGCAGGAAGCACTCCATCCGTTCATCTTCCTGGTAATGACAGACCAGCCCAGAAAACCTTACACAGCTCCAAAGAAAATGTCAGAGACAGCAAAATCAAAAGAACCTAGATTCATCAAGAAGCTTATGTGGTGTCTAATAAAACTATGGGATATAAAGTTAATTAAATCAAAGTAGTGGGATATATGGGCATCCTGGGTATAAACAGGCTTAGAAAGCAGACCGAGTAGTTGGTGCATTTATTATACCAGTGAAAAGTTTGGACACGGTTGACTGAATGCATGTTCATTATAATTAACGAAGATATTTTAAATAAAATGCATTACTCTTAAATGCCTATGTATTTAGTTTTAATGGATAAGTTGGAGCAGATAATGAAGGAACAGCAGCCAAAAAGTGTCTAGCATATGTGTGTGAACTCTTCGAATACTGGAAAAAAGCATTATGTATAGTAGGGAAATATATACATAACTTTTACAAAGAGGGACCCTCACAAAAGGATCATCATATTTGGCTGTCCATGGCATCAAAGTTTTAAAACCCCTGATCCAGACAAAGGGAAGCTACTTTGAAGAAGCAAAAATATAAAATAGCATTTCCTGATTGCTACATAACCCCATATTATCTTTTGTGTTGTTTTTATAGTTTTGTGTTATCATCTAGCTTTTCAGTAGCTAAAAACAGCAGAGCATGGCGCTAGCAACACCAAGGTCATGGGTTCAGTTCCCAGGGAAAGCAAGAATTGATATAAAATGTGTACGTTTAATGCAATGTATGTCGCTTTTGAATAAAAGTGTCTGCCAAATGTAAATGTTTAGTATTCTGGAAGTAGCAATAATAAACATTGAGTAGGTGTGTCCAACTTTCGACTGAGCGTCTAGTCTGGATCTGGGGCCGTCAGTCTCACCCTCGTTCTCCTGGTCCTCTGGAGGCTCCACTAGCTTGATGAACTCCACAATTACGTGAAACTCCACACCCAGAAGCAGAGCGATCTTCAGGAGCATGAGCTGGAGCTGCCGAATGCCTGCCAAACCCAGCCAGAGCAAGAACCATTACCATCACAGTGACGCTAACACTGCCTCACTTATAAAAACACCAACCAGTAGAACTAACAGATGTGAGAACAGAAATATCGTCATTAGAGTGTCAGGATAGTATTTTCACTTAGTGCTTCATCATTTGGATAGTTCATCCCAAAAATGGAAATACTATCATCGGCTCTTTTCCATACAGTGAAAATGGATAGGAACCGGGACTGTAAAGCTCCTAAAAGGACATTAAAGCAACATAAAAGTAGTTCATATGACTTACGTGCAATATTCCAAATCTTGAAAGGTCATACGATAGCTTTGTGTGAGGAACAAACTGAAATGTAAGTCTTGACAGCCAGTGGTCGCCATCCACTTCACTGTATGGAAACAGCAGCCTTTTGTTTTGTTTTCCACAGAAAGAAAATATTCTGCGATAGAGTGATGGTGAGTAAGACTGTAAATGTATTATCTGTATTATGAAATATAGTTAATATGCTGTTAAGTCTATATATATTTTATTGAAGTTCAGCTATGAAATAAAGATGTTGATGTGAAGCAATAACTTGTTTTAATGACTTTAAATCAATTTAAGTAAATTAAACAAAATATACATTAGAAAAACGGAGTTAAGTCTATTTGCCTTTTAAGTTATCTGTACTTTAAAATGTATGTTAATTCAATGGGAATTAACGGTTATAGTATTATTTATATATTATTATGGTTTATTAATATTTTGATTTAGTTCATTTTTCATTTTAATTTAATTAATTTCTAGTAATTATTTCTATTAAAAATGTGATGTGGTTTTGTCATTTTTTTTTATATTACTATTTAGATTTAATTTATTTTTATTTTAAGTTTTTGTTTATTTCCAGTTAGTCGTTTTAGTGCTTTAACTTAAATGTATTTCAATTAGTTGCCAACTCAACATTCTTTTTATTTCAGCTTTATTTCAATTCAAATATGTGTTTATAATAGTATTAGATTTAGCGATCTATAATAACCTGAGGGAATGAGTTTCCTCAAAAGAGTTCAGTAGACTTAACTTATTAGGATTTATAATGCAAGTTTTTTGGTAAAATATTACCGTAGATAACCTTCAAAGGTTGCATACACTGCATGTATAAATAAAGGAAGGGCTTTGAAAAGAATCAAAAGGAGAACTAAAAATTACTACTGCTTTAAACAAGGAAGTTATGATAGGTTGCTTATAATGATTTATTATAAGTTGTTTCAGAACTCACTGATGTGGTCTATTGCTCCAGCACAGAACTTTCCATAGAACTTCTTGGCTCCTAAGGCCCTGAGGTCATGAATGGTGTAGGGCCAGAGATGTAGGACGTTGTTCCTGGAGAATGTATCTCTCTTCTCTATCACCACCACTTTGGCTCCGAGGAAAGCTAACTCGATGGCAGTCCGCAAGCCGCAGGGGCCCCCTCCAATTATCAAGCACTGAAAGTTACAATCAGAAATTTAATTTAACCAAGGTCACTCTTTTCATTTAAAAAAACAGAGAAAGTACAGAACAAATGGGTGATGCTTTTGTTTTCATTGCCTTTTAAAATTCCACAAATATATATAAAAGGGAATACAGATGTCTAAGACAACTCTTCCTCTCTAGGACCACTGTGCACTTTATAATACCTTGTGTACTTTTCTTTACTGAAATTTAAGGGGCCTATTTTACTCTGCGGTGAGCAAACAGCTCTTGCCCACTCTTTCAGGAAGTATCCTTGAAAGCAGAAAATCTTAGCAGACAAGCTCAAAGAAAATGAAGCACTAATGCAAATGTTTATCCAAACACCACATCACGACCAGTGCCAATAACTGGAGGCGCGTGTGTGATTTCCTCAGCATTAAATCACAATTACAGTCCTGTCATATCAAAGGCATTATTCTTGCATCAGGCTTATATGAATGGATGAAGTCAAGACGTCAGATTCCGGGACATGTCTGAGAATGCCTGCTGTGGGTATGACTTCATCCTCTCTGGTTTAGTGATGAAAGATCACTTTTTATGTGGAGAGATGATCTCCACACAAATCTATTCTTGAGTCACAGAAGCGAGCCACATCTTGGACTTACATCATGCAAAGCTTTAGCTCATTTTTAGTCCAGATGGTACAATGTGACTTTTTTTCTACTTGATCTATTCACTTCCTACCCCTCCTTTGATTTCCCGCACACACAGTCAACTTCAGGATGGTTAATTGACCTCAAAATAAGGAAGCAGCAGTGAGGGCAGCTAGCGCTTCCTGTCACAGTGTGTGTACGGCAAAGTCTCTTAGCTTGTGCTGCGATCAATATTGTGATACACTCGGGTTTCAGCCCCTCCTGATCCTGGATCTTATCATGTTTATGTAGACCTCAATGCCTGTATGGATAGTTGTCCCTGGCACTGTGTCAGTTGTGGCTATTTACAGATCTCAGCCTGCTAGAAGCACAGATAATGTCATTAAAAATAAGAGATTTAGTCAGTGATTTGTGTGTATGTTTAAATATATTTAGAAACAACAGGAAAAGTTTAGAAAAAATATATTTGTTTGTGTGAGTGTGTGTGTGTGTGTGTGTGTGTGTGTGTTTACTTAGCTAAACTCTTGGCTCAAAATTGTCAGAAGTCTAAATCTGTCAGAATCTAAATCTGAACAAACATCCCTCTGGGGACAAAAGGTACAATTAACTTTTAATTTTATCTAAAAGAGCAAAAACAAAATGTTGCAATCAGCTTGTCTAATACTATAAGACTACTAATACACTATAAAACTACTAATACACTACTCCTCCACAAAAACAGTAATACCTGTAAATTTTGACCTTGTGGGGACATTTTGTGTGTGTGTGTGTGTATGTGTACTTACCTGTTTTTCTATTCTGGTGGGGACTTAAACCTGAATACACACAGACTCATGGGGACTCGTGTCACGGTGGGGACCTAAATTGAGGTCCCCACGGGTAAACAAGCTAATAAATCACACATAATGAAGTTTTTTGAAAATCTAAAAATGCACAAAGTTTCCTGTGAGGGGTAGGTTTAGGGGTAGGGTTGGTGTAGGGCAATAGAAAATACGGTCTGTACAGTAGAAAAACCATTACGCTTATGGAGAGTCCCCACAAGGATAGCTGACCAGACATGTGTGTGTGTGTGTGTGTGTGAATAACAGGGTTGACAGTGCCAATAGGAATGTGTGTGTACTGTTGAGTAAGAGGCTTAACAGTATCAAAATGAGTCTACAAAATGTAAATTTTTAAGTAACAGGGCTGAATGTATCAACAGGACTGTGTGTGTGTATTTTTGAGTAACATAATAGAAATTGTGTGTTTGTGTAAAAAAATTGCAGGTATCAACAAGAGTGTGTTTGTGTATTTGTGAATAACAGGATTGAATGTATCAATATGGGCTGTGGGTGTATTTTGAGTAACAGAGTTGAAAATATCAACGGCAATTGTCTATTTTTAAGTAACAAGATCAAACGTATCAGTAGGAGTGTGTTTGTGCATTTGTGAGTAACAGGGTTGAAAGAATCAATAGAAATTGTGTATTTGAAGTAACAAGATTGCAGGTATCAACAAAAGTGTGATTGTGTATTTGTGAATAACATATCTGATTGATATTTGAAAATATCAATATTGACTGTGTGTTTTCTGAGTAACAGAGTTGAAAGTATCAAAATAAATTTTGTATTTGAAGTAACAAGACTGCTAGTATCAACAGGAGTGTGTTTGTGAGCAACAGGGCTAAAAGTATCTATAGCAGTGTGTAGCAGTAGTGGAGAAAGTATTGGGGTTGGAGGAATGCATACAGAGAAAACAAGCAAGTATTAAATGCCTGAGGGGAGATCTGTTATTCATCAGTGCTGCAGGTATGAGGCTGGCAGACACAGGTGGCCACTGCACTGTCTGGACAGGTCTGTCTCTGCACTGCTGCTTTTGATTACACTGGATGGAGCAGTTACCACCAGAACAGACTGACAGGCCAGGTGCACAGTTTCTGTTTGACTTTACCTTAACTAAAAGCCACAGAGAATGAACAAAGGCAGCCTATTCAGAAAAGAGCCACGCAACCATTCCATCCCCATTTACCATCCCCACAGACTAAAAACGCTCCATCAGTCAGAGCAGATATGAACACAATGATAACTCTTTTGTTTCTGCTCATCCCCACCCTGAAACAGAACAGAAGAGTAATCCAGTGGTGAAGTTTCCTGTCGAGTCAGCATGGAGCTGTTTCCTGTCTATCAGTGGGTGCTCAAAATCAAACACGTTTTTGGTTGCCCATAGTAATCGAAGTATCAAAATACTTTTTGTAATGAAATCAGGGTTTTCATAATGAAATCAAATTGAGAGCAAATGGAGGCTAATACCTCCCTTTTGTAAGATTTTTTACTTGAGAAAAAAAATCGAGCAATATCCGTCTCCACCAGATACGTTTCATATTGTTCTCAGATTTGCCATGAAAGCTATGAAAGAACAACCTCAGAGCAATAAAAAAAATCTTCAGTATGTCCTCTATTTAAAATCCAGCCAATCACTTTACAGGCCAATGTCCGCTACAAAATCCCATTTCACCACTGGCACTTAAGGCTGGTTCAGCCTCTTTTATATCATGGAAAAGTCTGCAGGACAGGAATTGGTGGCATAACCTGCCAGATGAGACTTCCTGGTGAAAGCCACGGTAGGCTATGTGTTGAACCAACAGTCAGTTTACACAAAGCCTAGTGGAACAGAGACCACCTCACTGCGGGACCAATCACTTAAACCCAGACACACACACTTATCCTGCTTCTAGCACACAATGTGATCACAGTTTGCTTGAGCAGTTTGCTCAATTAGACATCACACCACTAGAGAAAGCTGCTCGATGGACTGAAGCAGACCACCAGAAGAGCAGCCCAGATTCACAAGCATTCAGGCCTCTACGAGAATAAAAAGGCAGGCGAAATGGCTGATACCTCTAGTGTAATGGAACAAAAGTCCTGGTAATGAGTCTTACCGTATAAGCCACTGCATGATTTGTTTACATTGCCCTAGTAATCATGAGTCACAAAGTCACAGCTGTAAGCATATGTCTAGCAGACTGCACACATGCTCAAACATACACAAAGAGAAGAACTTGACTTTCCCAATGTGGGAAACAGTGCGTCTTCGCATGAGCTCACGGAGTCTGGGTCAGGAGCTCACGCTGCTTAGACTGAGGAACGGCTCCAAGTATTTACCACAAAATCCGGTGGTGAAACCACAACACCACCCCTGAAAAACAACCCAAAAATGTATCAGAAAAATTTAAAACACACTTTATTTAACTGCTGCCCAACGTGGTCCTCCATTTAGGAGTCATTCAGACTTTTTATTATTTAAATTAATACTTTTATTTAATAAGGATGCCACCAATCAAACATGACCATAATTACTTTTACATTATTAAAAAAATATGTATATTTCAAATATATGCTGTTCTTCTGAAATTTCTTTTCATCTGTTTGTTTGAATCAGAGTTTCCTGAAAGCTTCCTGAAAGTAAATAAATAAAACATAAGCAGCACAACTGTTTTTAACATTAATAATAATAATAATAATAATAATAATAAATGTTTCTTGACCACCAAATCAGTATATTAGAATGATTTCTGAAAAATCATGTGACACTGAAGACTGGAGTAATGCTGCTAGAATTTCAGCTTTGCCATCACTGAAATAAATTATATTTTAAAACCTATTAAATTGCAATAGTATTTCACAATATTACTGCTTCTGCTGTATTTTTTGTCAAATAAATGCAGCCTTGGTGAGCATTAGAGACTTCCTTCAAATATATGGAGTTATTATTCATTTAAAAAATAGGATTAAAAAAAGACACAGTAATAAAAAAATACATGAAACTAACACAGCTAAAATTGTGTATAATCAGAATCAACTATAATTTTAAAATTATTTTTGCTTATTTTGTTTGCAGTGAATGTCTAAACTTTTAGATTAAGCCTCTGAGTTCTCTGCAATGGTAATAAAGCCAGTATAAAACAATAAAACGGCAGTTGAGCTGTCCCACTGGTTGATAAAGAGAGAATGAGCTCATATCCTGGACAGACTGTGAATCTGGCAGACAGTTGTAAGCTGGTGAGCAGTGATATTGTGTCACTCTTCCTAAACCACACCTCCACCCCACCCCCACCCCCCCACAACTCAACTCAACTCAAGTCACAACAGGATGAAGGGGCAGATGGTCTGTTATTCATCAGGATGTTAAAACACCTTTCCTATGTCAGTTTAATGAGCAAAATTATATGTAGGTTGGATTCCAGAAGAGTAAAGACACTCTCTGTTGCTTTCAAAACATTGCTTTGTCTGTTTCAGCAATTCAGAAAGACAGCCTCTGACTCAACCAACGGCGTGAGTTTGAGGTGCGACAAGCTGTTTGTCTGATCAATGGCGGATGGAGACAGGGCAAAAAGTTGTTAAAAAAAAACTAAAAATTCAAACTAGTAAGGGCCAAATGCTTAATAAGACTCTTTAAATAAATCTATGAACCATTTTGCAGTTACAGCATAACTGGCTTGTCTGAAACAGTGCCATTAGGTAACACTGTTCTGGCTTTGATTAAAGTGTGCAGAACAGCCCTTCGTCAGGACTACTGTATATAATTACCATCTTTATTACAGAGAGGTAAATTACACTCTAAAAAGAGCTGCATAATTACAATGCTTCACATCACAAACGTTGGTGGGCCGTTTATTGCTCGTATGAAGTGCACTTGTTAAATTATGCTCTCTTAGAAACACTTCAAACACTCACTAACAATAAACTGGGCCTGCATCCATATTTTTTATATATTTTCTAATTTGCCCATCCATCAAGTCAAAGCAACCAACATTTTCAAGATTCAAAAACTACATAAAGTCTTTGTAAAAGTAACCCATATGAATCAAAGTCTTCTGATGAAAAAATTTAATTCTATACAGTGAACATTTAATTTAGCTTTTATTCACATATAAACAGTGATCAATGCACATACGTAGAACACACTAAATATGGCAAACATAAGCTGAAATGTGCATACTTGATAGTCAAGAAACAGTGAGGTTTGTTCTTGAGTTTAAAACTCGCATATTGAGCTTATATGACATGAGGTATTGCTCGTATGAAGTGCACTTGTTAAATTATGCTCTCTTAGAAACACTTCAAACACTCACTAACAATAAACTGGGCCTGACTCCATGCAGCCTTTCAAAGTGTGTGTGTGTGTGTGTGTGTGTGTGTGTGTGTGTGTGAGTGAGAGAAGGGGGAAGTTCTCATAATGAACAAGCCAAGAGTCTGATCTTCTAAAATAATCAGATCTGCTGAGTGATGCTGTCTTTGGGAGAGTGTTATGATGAGTGTAACTCACTGGTACACTGATCCTAAGACATGCTTTTAGTTATTAAGGGCTCTAAGAGACAGGATGTGCAATTGTACAGAAATTGTACGGGTTGTATTATTTTTTATGATTTTACTATACATAAGCTTAAGTGTGAGGTACATTTTGTGTATGAAACGCATGAAAAATTATCTGCAGCTATGCATAGGGATATTATGACTGAAGTTAAAAGGATAGTTCACCCCAAAATGAAAATTGTCATCATTTATTTACTCTCATGTCATTTTAAAGACGTCTTTTTATGTTATCAGAACACAAAAGTATCCATCTATTCATCCATATTTTTTATATATTTTCTAATTTGCCCATCCATCAAGTCAACTTGAAAAAGGATTTGTTCATTTTGCTGAACGAGATTCAAAGATCTGAGTCAGTAAAATGACCCGAACTTCCCATCACTACAGAAAACTGCAGCGATTCGTACGCATACGTACTTTTTTGAGTTTTGCAGAAATGTAGATAGAGGCACGCATAAGTATCCATAAGCGGTCATGCTATTTGCACATATTACTCATTTAATGCATACTGCTCTTCACATAGTAGACGGTAAGCATACTCGGGCGTGGGATCAGTCTTTGTGACTGTATCATGCGACAGGCGAAATGTATGTGGCATTTGTCATAAGAAAATCCACACAATTTGAGGTAATGTGAGGAATCATTCATTATCAGTAACACAAATGGCGCAGGGCGACTTGTGTGTTATAGTATGAGCAATAGTAGATGTTTGCATTACCACACACCACAATTAAACTACTATAAAAGAGCCAGAGAGCACTCATCTAACAAAAACCATGTGTCCATGATGTCATACAGTATATATTTTGATGTCATTGCATACAAAAATCTGGGCAAATCTGAGATGGAATCTATAAACCACCTAAATGTTTGGTTTATAAAGATCTCAACAAAGGTTTGCCAGCTCAGTTAAACATTCTAACATATTCCAGTATTGCTATTGTCTTGGCATTTTGCAAGCTTACCTTAATGCCCTCACAGGCTTTGCCATTCTTGTACTCTTTGTTGCTGGCTCTCTTGTCCAGCTTACCCCAAAGGGCTTTGGCTTTCCAGCAAGTCACCATGCTCTTCAGGCCGCTGTAGAAGGTGCTGTGCTCCAGAGGGTCAAGCTCCAGGTAACTGCACATAATATTGAAGGCCTGCAGGGTGCTTTTGCAGTCAATGGCCTGAACAAAGTTCTCAAATAGCCGTCCTGCCTGGTTCTTCTCATCTTCAGCTTCACCCATCGTCTATTTTGTGAGAATGTGGACACTATGCTTGTGATATCTTGCTCCTTGCTCCACTGAACAGCTACGCCCACACTTCAGTCTACTCACCCATGGCGAAGTCTGAAAAAATAATTAAATGTCTATTAGTTAAAAAAAAATAAAACACTGCTAAAGAAGTTAGGTCAATGACTTGACACTCATATTTTTTCTTTTGTTATTATTTCTTGGAAAATAATACAATAAAAATAAATAAAAACATTTTTCTGCCAAATTAAAGTCATGTGGTGCAACCAATATGAAAGGAAAAACATAAAACAGTACTGTGTGTCAGAGTCAACAAGTCTAAAAATCACAGATAATTTTTACCTTTTTATGAAAAGGCAAGGTTAGTTCACGGTGTAAAATGTCATATGGTACACCAAAAAAGAATGATATTTATAAAATAATAATTCATATATATAATTCATTATACAGGTAAAATAAAATATAAAAATAATACATAAAACTTTGTATATTACTAGTGATTAAGATATGTACACCCATTCAAGGTGTAAAGAAAATAAATTACTTTTTGCTTAAATGTTTACACCACACTTTTATCATTTTTATCATTAAATTTAGACTTTTCTTGAAAACTGCACAAGTTTAAAAAGAAAAAACATGAATGCATATTACCTATTCAGACGGTAATTATTTCTCATGGGAAGTAAACTTTTTGCAGTATTTACAGGGGTTAGTCTGTGATTTTATTGCTGTCTGAATCCAGAACGTTGGCGTTTTTTCTCCCACCACCCACGCAAAAATCCCCAGCCGAATTACCTATTGTTTTTTGACAAACATGAAGGTCGTGTGGTAATTTAAATGCCGTCCAAATTCACATCTCTGAGTTTACAAGAAGAGATCGATTCAAAATTCAACATTTAAAATGCTGCTGAACGCCGTACTGTAACTGTTGCACTTCACTGTAATTTGTATGCCTATTTATTACTGAAATGCTGGAAAGTATTTACAAGAAAAATATTTCACAACTGCTCCACCACAGCTGTTAAGCTATATATCGGTATATATCGGTACCTATATCGGTTACATCTTGACAGCGGTTTGACGTCAGATACATTGGATAATCCATCCACAGAATCTTACTGTTGACTGGAGATAACAGCTGATTTAACCAGACTGCCAGCCGTGCACTTTTGCAGAGTGCATAGAAAGAAAACTGTTTGCCTTGCAGCTTTGCCCTGCTGAACTGTGAACAGGACAGAGGTGCGCTTTTGCAGGCAGTTGGGGACACGTCGCTACCCTGGCAACAAACTCCGCTGGTGTGTATTTTTAGTGAACTCCCTTATAAGATTTCAAAGCCCCTCCACTTCCTTAAGATAATAAACACACTTGAAAGACGTCACAAAACATAAGCACACTTTCAAGAATAAACCTAACACCACATAGAAAAGTATTTTACTGTAATTATACACATACAGTCTGTGAATATTTTATTAGATACAAAATGTCTAAATGTTCATAATATGCAAAGTGCTGAAAATTAAATCATGTCCTATTCTGTTTGGATATGAAGATGCCTTGAAAGCAGACAGGGTAGATTTGCCCTGTAATACTAGACTCATTTTACTCCAGAACACATTTTTCTTTGGGACAGGACATCCCTTTGATTTTGTGGTGAGTCAGCGTCTAATGGTATAAAGGGAAAGACAGAGCATATTTGCAGATATTTTGCTCTTTTTATATCCCTTTCTTTTAAAGGAATCGTTACTGCATAACTTTCCTTCTTCTGTAGGACACAAAAGGAGATATTTAGCAGAATGTCCAAGCTGCTATATTCCATTAATTAACTTAATTACCTTCAGATTTTAACTTCACCCTTAAGGGACGATGTATGCCACCTTTAATTGATTTCCAAGGGCATTTTTATGTTTACAAAGGCATTTCTTTTCTAACCTTATTAGATGTAGAATAACACTATAGGCTGTTACCAATCAAATGAAATCAGTATTTTTGCACTGCAGAAGTAGCACAGAAGATATATATAAATCAGAATGTAGATGTAGTTACACTGCAATTACAACTGCATAAAAACTGCTATGAGTTTAATGTTATTTTTAAAGAAATTATGCTTGTAAATATGAAACAACCACAAGCAGGTGTTGACAAGTCACTGTCTAAATGAGTGAGTCAATGAATCATTCGAATGGTTTGTTCAAACAGCTGATTCATTCAGGAATGAAGCAAGTGACTGTCTTTATAAATGGATCACTGAATCATTGATTAATTCAGGAACGAAACACCACTGTGTGTTGCTCAACAGCTTTGGTGCGGCTTTGTTCTGAACTATTGGCGTAAACAGTCAATTTTGACAAAATGGTGTCTAAAATGTAACTTATAATATTGCATTCTTGTTTATTGAACGGTTGTATAAAATCAATATCGCATTTTGGAATCATGCTTATATTTTGGAAAAACAGCATGTGTGCTTGTGTGATATTACTTAACTATATTTCTGTCATGACAACTCTCGGAGGGATTGGCATGGTAATGTACATGACAATGTTAATGTATTAAGTCTTGGCGGAATAGATCTGCTACGCTGCTGCTGCGGCAGAGCAAGTACCGAGACTTGCTACTGCCAATACATCCACAACATGCTACTGCTACGGCAAGCACTAGTCATATATTTGAAATGTTGAACAGTGAGCTCATTGGCTACCGATACAGGAGAGAACGAATCAGCTGTGTCATGTGATAATGATGTCATTAGGTCAGATTGAGTTAGACCTATCGGACTGCACCATCTAGAGTTTCATGCCAGAACTCTGTATCGCACAGAAATATAAAGGACAAAATCTCACCATAGGCCTATATATCGAATTTTTTGACAATCTAACTGCATTCTGCATCACATAGTGAAAACACACAATCTCAAGACATGTTTTTGCTTCGATTTTTGCAAATTGAGTTACAACTGAATCCATAAAGGACAACACCATAGAAAGTCATATGTGTCACAGTTGTACCAGGGAAGAGTTGAGGCTTGGATCTAGTTGCAGAAGTTTATGCTGGTCATGTGCTGGCAAAGGACCAGCATAAACCAGCAAAAGGACCAGCATAAACCAGCAAAGGACCAGCATAAACCAGCAAAGGACCAGCTTAAACCAGCATCCCAGCGTCAAAACATACCTAACCAGCATATGCTGGTTTATCTCTGCAGTTACCTGAATATTTCAGTGCTTCCATAAAGTCCTCCCTCTAGTTCCCTATGTATACATATCATTAATACTGTTAAACATGCAGTCAAATATCCACTTCTACAGTGAGAAAGACAATTCAGTCTGCATTATGAGGCACGATGGCAGTTCTAGTGAGGCCAGATCTCAGTCGGGTGTGTTTTTAGGACACCGTTTTGCTAGCGGTGGTCTAAGTGAGGGGATGTGTCAGCTCTTGTCATGTCTGTGTTAGATGAACTCCCTATGGAGACAGACGCGCTAATGCTCGCGTACACTGCATTCCAGCAGCCAGAAGCCGAACATAGTTGTGCATCAGAGCACACATCCAGAGTCACTCTTATTTACATGACTGTGAGAACAGGCTCTGCAGAGGCAACGCAATGGACACAACTGAAAAATATGAGGCTGCAAACACCTTAAATGTACTGGTTTGTGTTATGCAACTACCTGATTAAGATGTAATGGTCTCACTGCATTAAAAATTAATCAAATCATATGATCTGCATACCAAAAAGAGCTAAACTGATTTTAAGTTGCGTCACTTCCTTCTGAATTTTTTTTTTTGTTTGTTTGTTTGTTTTTTTAAGGGTATGTTCGGAATGCAGTAATACTTGCTTAATGCACTGGGGATTAAAAAATCTTTATGCAATGATCACTCAAACTGTCCTACAGCTAGGGGTGTGTGATATTGACAAAAAAAATGATATCTCGATTGGGATTTTTTTCGATAACAATAATTAAACAATATTCCGCTGAGTGTGTTTTTGTGCTGGTACCTTGGCTGGTTTAAGCCTGTCATGGATAAATAAAAATGACACAAACGCCAGTAGGTGGCGGCAAGTCCCTGTCTTAATGAGTGATTCACTGAATCATTCATTCAAATGATGTGCTCAAAATGGCTGATTCATTTATAAACAAAGCAAATGACTGACTTATGTATGGATAATTGAGTGAGTCATTGACGCAAATTATTTGTTCAAAAACAATGAAAAGATAATAATATAGATTATGCCACACTATTTAACAGAGTTTTCTTTTCGAGATCCTTTAATCAGCTTTATTATGATTTCAAAACTGTTCGACCACCCTCATTTTTTTCTTCATTCCCTGCGAATAATCAAAAGATTGCATTGTTTTATCTCTGTTGTATACTGCACAATTTGGTAAATGTATAAGTTATCCAGGTTTTCAATGCACGCACAAAATGTGCATACTGTGCCCAGTACACATACTGTCCAAACCCATAGCAGCTCTAATATGTGGTCATTTTAGTATGTCTGCTTGGAAGGCTAAATTAAATGTGTCAATAACTACCGTATAACTGAACGGCTGGCATGTCAGGCTTCACGGATGGAAGAAAACAGCTATTAGATCCATCTGTAAAGGCATTCCTCTTGAGCAGTGGATGGTAGCACACACTGTCCCCTCCGTTTGCTCTTTCAGCTGAATCTGCATTGTGCTGACTTACATACCATGACTTCACCATCTGACAGAATGGAAAGGGCCACTGCGGGCAGACGGCACTAACCCACAGAACACCAGTAAAATGTGCACACATACACAAACACATATCCCTGCATGCACACACAACAGGGAAAAACATTACTGGGAATAATTGTGGCAGTGCACTTATTAAAATACTATCAAGTCTGCCCATGTTGATGGGAATTTCACTGATGTTAAATAGATGCATAATAGGTCTGCCTCAGACACCATCAATTTCTACATACTACTACATACATTTCAAACTGTGTAATATGAATAAACGTGAATATTTATTTATTTACATTTATTTGATCAAAAATGCAGTAAATTAGTTATTTAAATAAATAACAATATTTTTCAAAATTACCAGCTATTTAAAAAAAAAAAACAGTTTTCTGT